GAAACATCTTCTAGTAAGTGTCTACAAAGTTTGTTCAAATAAAAGCCCTGGAGTTAAAACTGGCCCCGCCCCAGAGGTGTCATTGTTTTTAACTATATGTGTATAGTAAAAACTTAAAAAATCTTTTTTTAAAAAACCCAATGAGCTAGAGGTTAGATTGTTAAGCAGGAAACATCTTTTTGTGGGTGTCTACCAAGTTTGTTCGAGTAGAAGCCCTTGGGTTAAAATTGGCCCTGCCAAAGGGGGGGGTCATTTTTTTCATTATATGTGTGTAGTAAAAACTTAACATCATGAAACATTTTCTAATGGGTGTCTTCCAAGTTTGTTCAAATAAAAGCCCTGGGGTTTAAACTGGCCCCGCTCCGGGGGCCTATAAACAGGTGAGCGACCTCAGGGCCATCATGGCCCTCTTTTAATCTTTCTGTCACTATTGGCCCCTTTGAGAAGCTACCAAAATTAAAGCAATTAAATAGAAAACCTTGTAAACACCTTTCCTTCCTGAATCAATAGATTAAATTATCACTTTACTTTGTTTGTAATCTTTCAAACTTGTGAAGTCATTTAGTCAGCCTCTTTATGAGGTCATCGTAGCTAATATTAGGGGAAAAAACACCAACGCAGATAGATAAATTGCCCCAAACGCAGAAATTCGATAGAAAAACTTATTTGAATAGTAAAACTCTTACCATGCATTTAAAAGGTCACGATGGGGACTTATTTGATAAAATCATGCCAGCGTCCAATGTTCATCATGTCCAGTGGTACCTGTTTTTTTCTGAAGATGAGATGGCGACACTCTTTGCGTTTTGGTTTTGGATTGTTTGGTCAACAATTTGTCATTGTTTTTAAGATGTGAGCTAGTGAAACGAACACTTTGAAAACTGTTGTAATTTTCAATCCAAATTCTTTTAAAGAAAAACTTCAACAAAGGCCAACAGTTGGTTAGTCTGACGCCAAACAACATAAGTAACCTCAGTAACGCATTGACTGTCTTGTTTTAAAGTTTTCTTAGAAGGAAGCTTATATTCAGGAAATGTCAAACAATTCGACCGTCAATTATTCTGTACATTTGTAAATAAAACATACTGGTATTTTTTTTTCTGTCTGCAGTATACCGATTTTTGCTTTTGAGTTTTCCATATATCAACAGAGACCACTTGTTGGAAGGACAGACTGTTTATATAGGCGTATACACTGAAAAAGTCAAACTGTTAAGTTTTCATTTGCGATTTCTAAGAAATATCCGATAATAATAATTCTCACGTCCGTTAATGTTTTTGAGGTCTGTCTTGTATACAGCGCTCAACTTGTATATTTATGATGTGTTTTATGCATTGAATTGAAAGTTTATAGTAGCCGCCTAACCGCATACGTTACATGATGGGGCACATTCGTTATATATATGTCTATGTAGGTGTTAATGGATACAAACTGATTGACCATAAACCGCTATAAACTGCTTGCATTACACATTTTGTAGCATATTTGTCAAGTTTGGTAAGGCAGGTGATTATAGTAAGTAAAAAAACAACAACAGCAACAAAAAGGCCGTATCAGATTCATGGTCAAGGACGAGTTTTTTTATGAGCAGATTATATGCTGCAGCGTCCGTTGGTAACATTAATAATCTGAAACGTCAAAATTGCTCTGTTAATCCTTTTGCCACTTTTGGCCCCTTTTAGAAGCTACCAAAGCAATAAAATAGAAAATCCTGTAAACACCTTCCCATTCTGAACCAATAGATTAATTATCACTTAACTTTGTTTGTAGCATTACGAAACGGTCTTTAATCAAACATTACAAATACTTGATGTTCGTGTCCAATGGTACCTGGTTTTTATAAATATGAAAAGGCGACACTTTTTGCGTTTTGGATTGATTTGGTCAACAATTTGTCATTGTTTAATTTTTAAGATGTTAGCTTGTGAAACGAACACTTTGATGGCGGATTTTTTTTTATATTCAAATGTATCTGTTTTGTAAACCCACTCGATCGGATTACAAATATAGTTTATCAGCTATTGCTTTGTCTGATATTGTAATAATAATTTCTTGAGCATGAAATGAAAAACTAATGCACCAGGCACTTTATTAAACATTAATATGTGATTAAAATACCAATTTTATGTGTTCTATGCGCTATTATCAAATAATAATAATCAAACTTATAAAATTATGAAAATAGCAATTATGGTTTCTGGTCCGTAGGCGTTCAACTTCTTTGTCACGATTTATTTAGCTAGTTATTGCCGTTATTTGAATCCTATCATGGAAATATATTGGAACTACTAAAATATTAAGAATAAATCATGTCTATCCAATAAACGGTCTTAGAAGCTCGTGAAATCTACCAATTTGCCTCTTAACTTTTATAAGAAAAAGTGTGTACATTTTGAATATTGTCTCCATTCTGCCAAACAGCATACGACCTTTCTTGTAGATAATTTTCCTGTGTAAATATGAACTTTTAGTTGTTCAAGAAATGTACATGAACTATTTGGAATATATGTGTTATGTTTAAACTGCCAATTTTCTACTCACCGAGATCTGCTATTTGTGGAAAACCCAGAGTCAGGTCATGCCTTAAAATCTAAATTTCTAAAACTACACTATAAGAACTCGTTCAGCTGTGCTAGATAATGGTCAGCTGTATTGCTACAAAAGTATCGCGGTGGGGATAGAGTTTTCCGTTAGACTGCATTGTTTGCGTTATTACGCCTTCATTCGCATTACCCCACCTTTTGTTACGCGTAATTACACCTTATGATTTACGTTACAATGCCTGTCCAATGATACTTTAAGTCTTTTGTTCTTATAGTTAACAATATTTTGTAAATTTGTTATTCGATAATAAATAATTTCCTGTTGCTTAGTTTATAATAAAAATGGCAAAAAACATTTACATGATTATTGAAGTAAAAACTGTGGCAAGCAACATATGAGCCGCGTCACGACAAAACCAACGTAATGGATTTGCGACCAGCATGGATCCAGACCAACCTGCGCATCAGCGCAGTCTGATCAGGATCCATGCTGTTCGCTTACAGACCCTATAACAAGTAGAGAAACTGAAAGCGAACAGCATGGATCCTGATCAGACTGCGCGGATGCGCAGGCTGGTCTGGATCCATGCTGGTCGCAAACGCACTATGTTGGTTTTGTCGTGACGCGGCTCACATTATTTTACAACACTCAATGTGTTAATTAATTTTCTGCCACGATGCAAAATGTTCTGAAATTCTATGCAACCAATTTTATGTTATATCTAATTTGCGGAATAATACTAAGGTTGTTCGAGTTATACCTCTTTTTGAATTATTTACTCATTGAAACACAACAATATATGTTTTTAATATTTATCATTTTAAACTTTGCATCATGGCTGAAAAAAGAAATTACAAAAACTAGCTTGAAATAAAAGAAAGTATACGTGTACTTGATTTTGAGCTGTCGTTAACTAAATTCTTTAATTCTGTAAAAATACGATTGATCCGATTTATTATTGCATATGTTGGCTACGAATGTCTTAGCTTCCATGGTAACGGCAATTATTTTTTAATTTGCTTTGCTTAAACGAAAATAAATCATTTATCACCTAATAAGAGTTATAAGACCTTTAGTCTGGGACAGAATAAACAACAACACTGAAATAGGGTGTTGTTGTTGTTTTTAGGTTTATTTTAGCTCGGCGCCGGAAATTCCATATGTCCGAGATCTCAGCGTCCATGCCGGTCCACTCTAGTAGTCTCATCGGGGACGTCTTTTTCATGCCGATCTTCCTAATTCCTGTTCTTCGTTCGATGGAGGAAAGACAATACCGGAAAAGCATCAAGTTCCGTGACGGCTGCAAACAGGCGGTTGACATAAAACGGCTCTTGTTAGCGCCACCCTCCAGAGTTAGTCACGACAGGTCAACCAATCACCTCTGGTACTTAAGATGACTTGACCTTGACCTGCCGTGTGCCTTCTCCGCGACGTGCACGCCTCTGGAGAGATTTGGAGAAGAAATAGGATGAAGGCCTTCGCATTGTTTTAATATCATTTTATACACATCAATACAAAATATAACACTTTATGTCTTCGGAAGATGAACCTCTGAACTAACTCACAGTCTGTAAAATATACTATTATTTTGATTATTAACACGTCGATATGATATCTACATTTAACAACAACCAAAAGCTTTACTGCCAGTAAAGTTAAAAACGTGCTTAATTCACTGACTGCAGTTATAATTATATTATAACATATGGCTTATCTTTATGCAACTAAATAGACTAATGGCTATTTTAAGTCAGAACATATTGTCTAAGACTCACAACGGTTAATTTGGTTTGGTTTGTTTGGGTTTTACGTCACATCGACACAGTATAGGTCTTATCGCGACGTTCCAGCTTTACTGGTGGAGGAAGACCTCAGGTGCCACTCCGTGCATTATTTCAGGCACGAAGGGGTACCTGAGTAGAACCACCGACGTTCCGTAAGCTAGCACAACGGTTAAAAGGATGGGTGGGTGGACACTATGACCTGTACAGTACATTGCAAAGTCCTCGAGTGGCGTATCTATCCGCCTGTCAATTACATATACACTTCAATATAAATCGTGCAAAACTATGACACAACTAAAACAACCGTACATTTATAATTCTTAAACTGCAATAAAAACATACATTAGACTGCACTTATTTTGGAAACATTGTTTAAAGACTTCAGAATGGTCTTGCAGTCTGACGATCGAGCCTAAAAACGTATTCTTAACATTTAAAGGTTTCGTGTCTGCAAATTTGCGATGTTTCGTGAATAACCATACTGTTTACATACACATATAAAAATTGAGAAGATCAGCGGAAACTGACAAATTTGACCGAATATGTACGTTTTTTTAATAAATAAAAATACTGTACCTCGAGCTAAAATTTAACAACATTTGTACTTTATAGTCTCCTTATATCGATGTTTTCATTCTTGCATTATTTCACAAGTTGGTCATTTATTTTTAGGTATGGACTTCGATTTTAAGATTGGCGCTGTTTTTTCATTGGCGGATGACAGAAAGGAAAGTCATGACAGCCACAGAACTGATCTCTATGACGACCAGGGTCAATTGTTGCCTGATCGAGATGAGAATGGGAAAGTTGGCATAAACTTATACGGTTCCGAAACCAATTCAGAAAGTACATTTCTATCTCACATTGACGAAGCCATTTCTGAACAAATGGCAGATTATTCGGACAAATCAACTGAATCGGCGATGTCTTTTATGGAGGACCCAGATGCCCCACCTTCTCTCTTACTTGAGGACAATGATTCTTCTCCATTTCTTCAACAGTCTCTGAATACGAATATTGATTGTATTTCTCCACCTATACTTTCGCCGGAAGAACCATTGAAAAGAGGTAGGTAGTATATAGGAAATATTTCATGTGTGAACAATTCTTATAGGTTGAACCGTTTTAACTGATTATTTGTTTACACCAGTCCGAAGTGTGAGTTTGAAACATATTTAAACGATGAACGGCCATAGAATACCACACCTGTGCTTGAAATACTAGACATATAATGGACACGCACCTAGCGGGCAGGCTTAGGCGTCAAATTTTGCCCGGAGCACCCTTCACGCATGGAGGAATTTTGATGAAACTTCATTGCAATGTTCACCGCTATAAGAAGCCTTGTCGCGCACATCTACCAGTTCACTAGGTCAGAGTTCATTGAAAAATGCTTGTCACCAGCAAAACTTATACAGGCAAAGAGGGATTTCAATATAACTTGGCTGTAGCCCGCGCTAAATTAAGGTTTCTGCTTTCAATGTCAAGGTCACACATGGAGGTCAAAGTTCAGATAGAAATATGAAGATATGTATAGGGACCATTTTGTCATCAATTATTGAGGGATTGTGACACAAATGGTAACTGTCATGACAACGGCTATGACACATGTAATTTAGGTTAATTTTGCAAGGCCAATGTCACTAGAGATGATTAATTATCGAGATATTGTCCAGAGCATATCTCCTAAATGCATGGTGGAATTTTTATGATACTTTATAGAATTGTTTACCACTATAAAACTTAGTGCCCTGCATATGAGCCAGGTCTCTAGGCCAAAGGTCAAGGTCACATTCAAATCTCTTATGGGGAAAAAACTTTAACACGCATTGAGGGATTCTAATGTAACTTGGAACAAATTTTGCATTATTATGTGGCTGAGTGTCGCGCATAAAATGCAGGCCCTGCAACCCAGGTCAAGGTCACACATAGAGGTAAATTTTCAGATTAAAATACGAAATACGTATGTATAGGAGTTAGGGACCAACTTGCTTGCCACACTTTCTATCGCCCACATCTTTATAAAGTTTTGGTGAAGAGCGTATTCTATGAGCAATTAATGAAATATTTTTGCAATATATTTTTCTTAATGAAGTATACATGTAAATATTTTATAAATAACATTGTTCCTTGTTTTACAAGATTAGAAAAACATCTACAAAAATGTAGTAACCTACCGGAACGTGGATAATCGTGACGATTTGCTAAATAATTACTAGTACACTCTGACGACCTCGCCAATTATTCATAATCCTCTCGGAGTTCATACGGATTGCAAATAGCTCTCCAATGTGACCTTTCATATGGATGTAATCATAACGATTTTTTTATTTGACATCTACCAAAAATTAATGTATAATTTGATAATCTTATCATGATTAACTTTGATCATTTTTATTATTACAAAAGATAAAATTAAACCGCCGGGAACGAACATGAAGACGGAGTGAATAATGGACATACGTAAATGTTATATTTCTGAAGTTTTTACTTCTAATTGCGCTCCCCACTATTCTTGAAAGAATGAAGCTCATGTTTACTGGCTATATTTATATTAATACAAAAGAATAAAATTAAAGCGTGTGTACAAGTCGAAGCGATGAAGTATTGGACATACGTCATTGTTATATTTTGGCTAGCATATATAGTTTAAAAAGTAGTCATAATAATAATATTCGATCTCATAAACTTTGTTGCTTTAGTATGCTTTGTGTTTTAGTTCGTATTTCTTATTAAGTAAAGGTAAAATAATATTAAACTTGTGAAAAATTATAAAAATAATCTATTTTTTCTAGGCATACCTGTGGAAAAGAAGAAATGCACAAAAATAGATCCTTGCTACATTGTTCTTACAAATATTGAACAAGCGATGCAGACAAAAGTATCTATATCTTCTCGAGCATTCAAGCGATCTTTTGTTGAGTGCTCGAATATGTGCAAAAAGATCATGTTCAAGCGCCGTCTTAAAGCTGGAAAAGATGTGTTTGATGTGAAAACCCCCAGTAAGCAAAAAGACTATTTGCTTTATTTGATGAAAGTTGAAGAGGAAAGGTTTAAGAAAAATAAAAAGAACACTGTACAGTGTACAAAGATACAAGATATCATAGAAAAGCATGACTTGAAAATAGCTGCACGCAAAATTGCGTTTGGTAAAAAAGTTCACCCTCGTGTGCGAAGAACGATATCAAAATTACCAAAGGATTTTGCTGATAGACCTGTAAGTCCTTTACAAGATGCAATTAATGCGAACGAGAAAGATTACAGTACAGAAGAGTTAGAAAAACTTCAAGAGGCTTTTGTGAAGAAGAAACACAAAGTGGAATTAAATTCACTTAAAAGACTGATTGGAATAAAGCGTTCCCTGAATCAGAATCTGAAGAAAAGTAAAAGATTAAGACCTGAAGGATATGAAAGTTTTTTAAAGTCAGATGTTACTTCAAATGTTAGCGGTCGTGTAAGAAAAGTGAACCCGAAGTACGGAGTCGATTACGCCATGAGTAGGAAAGATTTCGAAGAACAGCGCGTATTTGAGGTAGCACAATCTCAACTGAAACGTGCTGAAACAGAAAGTAAACGGAAACAGGAAGAAATCAGTTTTGATTTCTTATTACAGAAGAGACGAAAGGTATCAATGGCCAGTAATAAGAAAGTAAAACAGCCAATGGTTCAAATTGAAAACGCAGAAAATGATGATGTAATTAAAACTACAGTCAATAGTAAAAAGTCAAAAATGAGCTCAAAAAAGATAAATATGAAGACAACTGCTTTACAGTCTTTGTTGGAATCCCCGCTGGTTTCCGGTATGCATGCTAATCAGCATAAATCTAGCGATAATGTAAAAAATGCAAAACAGAAACGTAGCAAAAATGTTGACAAAGACGCTGTTCTTATTCAAGATTTGCCGAAAGAGGAGAACTTGATTAGCGGATTTTTACAAGAGACGGTTAAACCTTCAACGCAAAAGGAGTTTGTTACTGAACAATGCATGGCCTCTGAAGTTAAAGACGGTGACCAATATGTGCGTGCTAGACAATTGCTTAGGGACAGTTTAGACAGAAATATGTATAAAGCACGGATTAAGATAAAGCAAACCGTTGTACCAAAGCAAGAAACCTTGTATTCAAATGCACAAACATCACAACAGGCAAATGTTCAAGAAAAGTATAAAGTACTTAAAATTCCCGAGACTGTTCAAAAGCTTTTTGATAATACAAAGATAAAGCAGGAACCACCCGATGATGGATACGGAACTTCTTCTAGTTCAAGTACTGTCAGTTCAAGTGCTGTTAACACCACAAAAGTTGTTACAGTAGCATATAGTAACGGTGTGTACAAAAAAGTTTTAATGAGCGTTCCTAGCACGACGACAGTTACTTCTTATACAACAAAACCATCAAATGTAGCATCAACGCCTATTTTGGTGAATACGAATAATGGACAGTTGCATTATTTTGTTCCCAATCAGATGTATTCGAAGTTACCAACTTATTCTGATGCAATCAAAGCCAAATTCCTTCCACCAAAGTCTGACACATCGAGTATTTCCACAATAGCGTCACCATCTAGTGTAAGTGGTGGCGTGCCGACTGTATTGCAGATTCCATTTAACAAACCCATGTCACCAACAGTTATTGTCAGCCAGCCATACGTAAACAAATCATACATACACACAGTAAAAGCTGTTAAATCACCAACATGTGCAACGTCAGTACAAACTCATACAGTTGTCCACAAGGTATCACCATCACCTGCAGTACAAAATAAATTGGAGCAAAACAGTTCAACATCAATACAACAACAGTCAGTTCCATTTAAAAGCACTCCTAGTACAACTTCTCCTCAAAAGATCGAAAAGTGTAAATTCTATTTGCTGAAGATTGACGGCAAAAATGTCCTCATACCAATAGAAGGCAACCAGGCACAACCAAAAGCCTTCGTAGTCAACAGTGATATAATAACTTCAAGTGTACAATCAAATAATCTGGATTCTACTGCAACTACTGGGAATGTAGGTCAACTTCAAAAAACAGATGGAATTCGACCAACGTTGTTAGGAGGTTCAAATTCAGATGTTCAGTCTCAGAAAAAGCCAACATTAGCAGTGGTACCCAACGTGAAACCAGGAAATTTGGTACTTCCCACGCAAATGACATTAATATCAAATACAAAAAATATCTCTGAAAACAAAAGTCAGTTGCAAACTGTAACTTTAACAAATGTGGGAGCTGTATCAAAGACAGGAATTGCCAACAGTGGAAAATTAAGTGGGACAAATATTACAATAAAAAATACAAACCTGGCAGGAAGTGCAAATACTTTAAAAGGAGTAACGCCCATTCTTAGTGTAGCAAATAACGTAGTGGGAAATACTGCAATAAAAAGTGACATGAAAACGGCATTCACAAATGTTGTTAGTTCTGGGAGTTATAAGTTAGCACCTAAGCCAGTAATTTCACATCCTGTTTTGAGAAATACAGATATTGCGAAGTCAAGTCCATTGACAGTACTTCCAGTTTATCTGAAACCTATGGATTCTTCAGTGCCTGGTATTCTCCAGTTGCAGACTGTTCCTGTCAACTTAAAAAATGCAATGTCTGCTATGGGAAATCAATTTGTTTCTCAGCCAGACTCGAAAACAAAAACTTTACAAAGCGTTACAAATATGCAAGGTGTACATGCGATTCAAAAACCTGTTTCGCCATTTAAAAACCCTTCGGTGATTAAGCAGGGGCAATCAAATACTGTAAGAAGTCAGTTAGAGGCCCGAAAGGAGACTAAAACTTTACAAGGAAGAACCGAGTCATTAGGTGGTGTTTCTTTACTAAAGAACGTATCAACAAGTCCATCGGTAGCGACACAGGGACAAACAATAAATAATAAAGATAAACATGGAGAAAAGTATGTTAACGATTGTAAAGCTATTCAACTTTGTGAGAAGTCGGGTGCGTTTGTGTCAGAAGAAGCATGTAATTCAACGACAGAGCAAGCTACTGTGGACACCACTGAACCATTGCCCTTCAAGGAGGCAGTTACAGCAAGAGAAGAACGATTACGGCGTTTAAAAGAACTTTTAAAGGAGAAGCAAAAAGCAGTAGAAGAAATTAGAACTAACGTACCTAAATGAAATAAGAATTGGACTTAACTGTAACGTTTCAAACTTGTTATGTTTTTTTAAGATTTTGTTTCATTGATTCATGAACAGCAATCATGTAGGTCCCATCTGTTCCATTTGGCTGAAAATGTTAGACTTTTTACCTTTATGTAAACTGCTATAAAGTCAACATACATAGTGTATGTAACTATGTTCCTACTCGACGCAGTTCATCTGAAGTCAAAATGTTCAGTTTTCAATTAAAAGAATGAAACTAAATAAATATTACGAGAGGAATAAATGTTTTGCGTCAAGATAAAGGCTCTTTTGGACTGTACCATGCATTAGTTATATGGATAGTTAAGAACTGCCAAAACATTTGAAAAATGTGACCAGTCTTTAAATAAACGCGGTTTTATCAATGTCTATGTATTTAGATTTAGAAATGCTGTTGTGTTAATAGGAGGGCATATTTATGTATGTATATATTATGTACAGTACATGGCTGTCTTAAATGGTACTTTCATTTTGTCGAATAAACATACATAAAGGACTATGTATGTAACGTAAAGACTAGAGATGGTTATTTTAGCATGAATGATAATTAATAAATTATTTTAGTTGTTCAGTATTATAACATAATGTAAAACAATACTGAAAAGCTGGGACTTCAGGTTAATGATATGTAATTCATTTCAATTACATGCCTCCTTAATGAAAGATACTTACTGGATATTAAATTGCAAACTATTTTTAAGGCTTACATTTAGAGAACCAGCTAAGTATCATTTCATATTAAGCAACCTTCAAAGTTGTCATTTATGACATTTATGTTTTACTGATAATAAGTCAATTTTGGAAATGTATTGCACATGTATTTGAATCTCCATGCAATTTGGATAGAAAACGTATGTAGTGAAGGCTTTATACTTTGTAAATTTGCTAAATTATATTAAGACACTTTAACAATAATTTACGTCATTTTATAAGATAATTCAATGATGTGTTGAAAATGACATTGTATCTTGTAGCGTGAATAGTAGTTTTTTTTATGAAAATGAGCCGCGCCATGACAAAACCAACATAATGGGTTTGCGACCAGCATGGATCCAGACCAGCCTGCGCATCCGCGCAGTCTGATCAGGATCCATGCTGTTCGCTATCAGTTTCGCTACTTGTAATAGAGTTTGAAAGCGAACAGTATGGATGGTTGCAAACGCATTATGTTGGTTTTGTCATGACGCGGCTCTAATATACTTAAAGAAACCTTATTTTCATTTGCTAGAGAATCTTCTTTATTCCAAACATAATACTTAAATTGTATAATGTCTATAAACATTATTGATGTATCAGTTTATCAGTACAATGTTTGTCACAATTAGTATAATCATTATCCATATTGGTAATTTTTATATTGGCAGCTTTTTAATTAGCATTTTTAATATACCCTACAGAACATGGATGGACACTTTAAATATCCAGAACTTACAAATTTATGAATATTTTATGTTGTACTTTGATTATTACCTGTTTAAATACTCCATTTTAAGGCAAGTAGATGATCGCTATTATGTGCTTCCCATATCTTATAAGGTTCCTTGGTAGTTAAGTCGCGATTTTGTTTATAACAAATAATCTACGGAATTAGATATTAGCCAATAATTTTGCTTGTCATCATTTGCATTATATTTGTTGGAAAGGATTTTGTTTGTTAAAAAAGCAATTTTAAGTCTTTAAGTATTGGTCATATTTTAGTACTTTTAGCGGTAGGTGTTGTAGAACATTAATAACGTGTCGAGTTATTTAATCTATACTGCAGGTTTACTGTACTTTAATATTTTTATAACTTCTTTAAACATTAAAGCATTAAACATGTTAAAGGAATGCTTCAAGTATGTAATATTATATAATATAAATACAACCTTTTTATTGCTGAATATATAACATCATTACATGTCATGCATTAGCCAACATGGTATGCGTAAAGAAGTGTTCAAAAAAAAATTACATGTCGCGCATTAGCCTAAATGGTATGCGCAAGGAAGTGATAAAAACATCTTTACATGTCATGCATTTGCCTTAATGGTATTGGTAAGGAAATGTTAAAACACAGCATTACTATATGTCATTTGCTGTATATTTCTCTGTATTTGATGATAAATATTTTTATCAAAAGATTTTATTGTTTTTGATGTTATTGCTCAAAATGTTTAGCACCCTTTCTATGTTTGGATGAACGAAAATGTTTTAAGTTGATGCTTTATCACTTAATTAATTTGGAAAATATTTCTGTGTTGTTTTCTTATATTTCCAGACACAAGAAAAGGTTTCATAATGTTTGTTATTGTTTATTCACTTTCATTTTATCGTTCCACATAAATGTAAATGTATGGTATTTATGGTATTAATGTAAAGCATATCCATTGTCTTCTTTGTCAATTAATTTGAGCCGCGTCACGATAAAACCAACATAGTGCGTTTGCGACCAGCATGGATCCAGACCAGCCTGCGCATCCGCGCAGTTTAATCAGGATCCATGCTGTTCGCTATCAGTTTCTTTACTTGTTATAGGGTCTGTAAGCAAACAGCATGGATCCTGATCAGACTGCGCGGATGCGCAGGCTGGTCTGGATCCATGCTGGTCGCAAACCCATTATGTTGGTTCTGTCATGACTTGGCTCAGCTGCAAATAGACTTCGTTTCACTGTTAAATTCGAACGGATGCCATTGTTTGCATAAACTTTTTTTTCCATTTTATAAACGAAAGCTTGTAATGTAATGATGACATCATTTTATGTTTTATCAATGATCTTCAATTTCCGATCACTGTTCCCTGCTGTTTTGTTCAGTAAATTTCAGTTTTTAAATTTACGCCTTGTTTGTTTATTATATTTTTATCATATTTGTCAAACAGTAAACAAAAACACAACATGTTTATTTGGCAAAATGGTCATGTAATATGCCTTTGACCATTTACAATTACTAGTATTATTATGCCCCCATTTCGAAGAAAAGGGGGTATATTGCTTTGCACTTGTCGGTCCGTCGGTCCGTCGGTCTGTCGGTCCGTCGGTCCGTCGGTCCGTAGACCAAATGGTTTCCGAGTGATAACTTAAGAACCCTTAGGCCTAGGAACTTCAAACTTGGTATGGTGATTGGTCATGACAAGTAGATGACCCCTATTGATTTTGGGGTCAAGGGGTCAAAGGTCAAGGTCACATTGACCTTGTAAGCAAAAACGGTTTCCGATCAATAACTAAAGAACCTTAAGGCCTAGGAACTTCAAACTTGGTATGGTGATTGGTCATGACAAGTAGATGACCCCTATTGATTTTGGGGTCAAGGGGTCAAAGGTCAAGGTCACATTGACCTTGTAAGCAAAAACGGTTTCCGATCAATAACTAAAGAACCTTAAGGCCTAGGAACTTCAAACTTGGTATGGTGATTTGTCATGATCAGTAGATGACCCCTATTGATTTTGGAGTCAAGGGGTCAAAGGTCAAGGTCACATTGACCTTGTAAGCAAAAACGGTTTCCGATCAATAAGTAAAGAACCTTAAGGCCTAGGAACTTCAAACTTGGTATGGTGATTGGTCATGATCAGTAGATGACCCCTATTGATTTTGGGGTCAAGGGGTCAAAGGTCAAGGTCACATTGACCTCTTGGGTAAAAACAGTTTCCGATCAATAACAATAGAACACTTAGGCCTAGGAACTTCAAACTTGGTATGGTGATTGGTTATGACCAGCAGATGACCCCTATTGATTTTGGGGTTAAGTGGTCAAAGGTCAAGGTCACATTGACCTTGTAGGTAAAAACGGTTTCCGATCAATAACGAAAGAACCCTTAGGCCTAGGGACTTCAAACTTGATATGGTGATTGGTCATGATCAGTAGATGACCCCTATTGATTTTGGAGTTAAGGGGTCAAAGGTCAAGGTCACATTGACCTTGTAGGTAAAAACGGTTTCCGATCAATAACGAAAGAACCCTTAGGCCTAGGGACTACAAACTTGATATGGTGATTGGTCATGATCAGTAGATGACCCCTATTGATTTTGGGGTCAAGGGGTCAAAGGTCAAGGTCACATTGACCTCTTAGGTAAAAACAGTTTCGGATCAATAACTAAAGAACCCTTAGGCCTAGGAACTTCAAACTTGGTATGGTGATTGGTCATGATCAGTAGATGACCCCTATTGATTTTGGGGTCAAGGGGTCAAAGGTCAAGGTCACATTGACCTCTTAGGTAAAAGCAGTTTTCGATCAATAACTAAAGAACCCTTAGGCCTAGGAACTTCAAACTTGGTATGGTGATTGGTCATGACCAGCAGATGACCCCTACTGATTTTGGGGTTAAGGGTCAAAGGGAAAGGTCACATTGACCTTGTAGGTAAAAATGCTTTCCGATCAATAACTTAAGAACCCTTAGGCCTAGGAACTTCAAACTTGGTATGGTGATTGGTCATGACCAGCAGATGACCTATTGTTTTTAGGGTCAAGGGGTCAAAGGTCATGTAACATTGACCTTGTAGGTAAAAACGGTTTCCGATCAATTAACTAAAAACGCTTAGGCCTAGGAACTTCAAACTTTGTATGATGATTGGTGGTGACCAGCAGATGACCCCTATTGAGTTTTGGGTCAAGGAGTCAAAGGTCAAGGTCACATCGACCTTGTAAGTAAAAACGGTTTCTGATCAATAACTTAAGAACGCTTAGGCCTAGGAACTTCAAACTTGGTATGGTGATTGTTCATGACCAGCAGATTACCCCTTTCGATTTTGGGATCAAGGGGTCAAAGGTCAAGGTCACATTGACCTTGTAAGTAAAAACGGTTTCTGATCAATAACTAAAGAACACTTCGGCCTAGGAACCTCAAACTTGGCATAGTGATTGGTCATGATCAGCAGATGACCCCTATTGATTTTGGGGTCAAAGGTCAAGGTCACATTGACCTTGTATATTAAAAGGGTTTCGGATCAATAATAAAAGAACCCTTAGGCCTAGGAACTTCAAACTTGGCATGGTGATTAGTCATGACCAGCAAATGACCCCTATTGATTTTGGGGTCAAGGGGTCAAAGGTCAAGGTCACATTGACCTTGTAAGTAAAAACGGTTTCTGATCAATTAAGTAAAAACGCTTAGGCCTAGGAACTTCAAACTTTGTATGATGATTTGTCTTGACCCGCAGATGACCCCTATTGAGTTTTGGGTCAAGGGGTCAAAGGTCAAGGTCATGACCAGTAGATACTTGATAACCCTTATTAATTGTTTGATCACTGGGTCAGAAGTCATGCATAATTACCTTATCACATGAATAATTGGCTGCTGATAGGGGGCATACATGTTTTACAAACATATCTTGTTAAATAATATGATTATACTGCAATATACAAGAAAATAAAAATGTGAAAAAAGAGAGGGAAAAACAAGAGGGGGAAAAACAACAAAAAGACATATTCATCAATATTATATTCAGCAATGAGATAAATTGGTTTATGTATTTTTATTTTTTTAACATTATTAAAAACGACACTATAAACAAAAGTTTATCGAGCAACTATTTTTGCAGGCAATTCTGTCGTACAAATAGACGTAATTACGGCAAGCTAGAATGAAAGATTGCAAGAAACCAATTTCTGATTTATAATTGCTAAATAGTGATTATACATATATAATTGTACTTTATGTCATTAATTGATTTACACATTCAAGTTCCAAGCAGAAAAATGCATTTGTTTTAAGTAAAAAAAAAATCACCTATTTGACGTAAATCTAAGATTTTGTGTTTTCGTGCGATTTAAGGTTAACGTTGAACAAACAGTAAATTTTATATGGGTGACTCTCCAGCTTTATTGATGGGAAAACCTCAGATGCTCTGTAAATTATTTCAGGCATGAACGGGCCGCCAGCACAAGAGTAGAATCACCAACATATAGTTATGATATGACATTGATAATGGTGATTTAAAGAGTTAAAAATAGCGAGAAGAAATGAAGACCGTAATAAGCGGTCGTAGAATTTCTCTATTTCAATACAATACGGAATTTTCAATTAAAGCTAATAAATGAGCCGCGTACGACAAAACCAACATAATGGGTTTGCGACCAGCATGGATCCAGACCAGCCTGCGCATCCGCGCAGTTTGATCAGGATCCATGCTGTTCCCTTACCAACTCTATTACAAGTAGAGAAACTGATAGCGAACAGTAATTTATATGCTGCTTGGATCTTCATCCAGCTTATTACGAGGAACGGGGATACATAGACGCACAAAGGAAGATGCTGATTAATTGGTTGGTACTTTATCTAGAACTGGCAACATTTTTGGGCGATATAATCAGGGACGAATTTGAGGAAATATTTAATACCAACATTACAAGAGACGCTAGAATCTTTATTTTTGTCAAGCTGTTGTTTTACAGAACAGAAGAGAACATATACTTTATTAAGATTTGTACATTGTACATCATCTATAATACAATAATATTTACAAGCATAACGTCAATGTAATGGTAATAGCAATCATGACAATTCAGAAACATTCCGTATAAAAGTAAAACTATGCAATATAGTCCTGATATAATCGGTCATATTAAGTAATAGAATCACATTAGTCATACATACGAGTACTTTCCGTCCGTAAGTCGGTCTGTCCGCTCTAACGGGACAGTAATAAAGTGGCTAGAGGGACAATAGGTAACTGTTCTTTCTCTTTGATGTCATTCATTCCGTAATGCTTTTATGTGGCTTTTTGCTTTTGTATGGCTTAAAAAAACAATAGAGAGAACCACATTATAAATGTCCCGTAAGAACATTAGGGAACCACTGTTTGTCCATTTGCATAAATTTTGGTAGGAATGGTTGTATGGATAAGGGTTGTAGCGATGGATTGGGGGGCAGCTTAGGACGACCAAAAGTTATAAAAATTCGCCTGGGGGTATTTTTAGTTATTGCAATATTTAGCTATATTTTACAACTGGTTAATAACACTTTGAAACTCAGCAAGAATTAGAAAACTATTAAGAATATCAATCAAAAATGAAAATTGGCACATGCGTTTTGAGTTGTTTCCTTTTGTTATTTCAAAAAGGCGCTTTTAAAAAGACAATTAACATTTTGAGCTATATTTTACTAGTTGTTTATAAGATTTTGATGAAAATCAGCATGAGTCAAATAATAGTACTATGTTTTTTTCTTTTTTAGTTTACTTTAAAATCTAAACGTGCATGAATGAGTTATGGCCCTTTGTTACTTTAAAGGGGCATTTAGTAAGGCCATTCTGAGCCAAATTTCACAAGTTATTGATTTGAATGAAACTGAACTTAGCATGCAAGTATCTTATAGTAAGGAAATTATTCTTAATAAATAGTTCTGCTCTTTGGAAAATTGAGAAAGACATTTTTTAAGGAAAATCCTATTTCAATAAGCAAGATTTTAAGATTACTGTCAATGTATATTAACCTGTAAACAAGTCAAATGTTGATGCTGCACATCAAAGACGCCTCCAAATGATGTGAACGGTCACAGGTAATGTACAAAATCAGCTTTGACAATTGTTCTCTATTAAAGATGAATATCCGAAGCACTTATCAATTTTCTTGGTATGTGCTCGTTATGAAGTAAGTTGCATATTTTTGTGGAAAAAGTAGAACCTAATGCATACAGACTAAAATTATCCCCATTCTTGAATGGAAAAATGCATATTATTATGCATCTACTAGCCGCCGCGATCACACGGCGTGTGATTACCTTGAACGTTAGCATAAAATAATGCGTATATGTCTTTGACCGTGAAGGTAAAGCTAATGCATTTTGTTTGCTTGAACAAACCATCTCCTGTCTAGGAGT